CGGTCCTGCGGGGCGCCGGGCCCGCCCAGGGCCGGCAGCTGGGCCAGACAGCAAAGGGCACCACCCCACCTACAGTCGAGGCGTTGACCTAAGGAACCCTACAGAAGGAGCGAGGCACCTTATCCCATAAGTGGACCTTCGACGTCCCATCGAGAATTCAAGGACAACCTTGGGCAAGGTGTGGAACACGTAAGGAACACCGAGCCCCTCCCCAACGAAAAGGGTTCCTTCTTCAGCGCCCCGACTGTACGGCCCCAGGGGGCTCAGCGTATACCGGGAGATCTGGCAGGGTGGCTGTTGCGCGGTAGACGCTGCGGAACCCGAGGGGCCGCAGGGCAGCATGGAGGGCCGTAGGCGGGGTGGTGTCCCGGAACTAGAGGATCCAGAAAATCAGAATTTAAGAGATCGTGGCCAGCTGCCCAGGATCTCTCAGGACAAAGCTGGGCCACCAGCCCCTCCCACTGGGCCACGTTGTCCGCCCGGATATCCCTTTCTCATGCCCCCATGTCCCAAGAACGGGCTGCAGAGGCCGAAATCTGGGGACCCGCCAGAATTGAAGGGGAACTGGGACACATAAATAAATACACACAAATAACCAGATTTTCCCATATTTTCCTATATGTTCTAGGTTTTTGTCTCCCCCCCCACTTCCTATATTTATATATTTTCCTGGGAGTCGACTATTAATTGTGTCTGTGTGTTTTTGCCCCTCCTGAAGGATGGAGAAAGACAATCCGCCACGAAGCTGGGCACAGGCGCCAACCCCGAAGACTCTATAATTTCGAGTCTGGAGCGCTGGACTCCCCGTACCTTCCCCTTCTCTGAAGCCAGTACTTCAATACGGAGTCCCCTCTCGACCCCACCCTTTCCCCGCAGGACCGGTTTCTTATCCCGAGCTGCTTTTTAACAGCCCCACGATCCGAAACAGGCATCGGAAAGGGCGAAAATCGCATAAGAACCTTGGACTCGATCGTCTCAAGTCTCTGGAAACGGTACGGGGCCCCAGGAAGTCTCGCCGACACTTCCCTGGCTTTTCATCCCGAGCTGCCTTTTTGACAGCCCTGGGGCCGGACGACCGACTCCAGCGGTCAGAAGCGGCGAAAAGCATCAGAGTCGACCATCTCTGGTGGCTGACCTCGGGTCATCACAACTCTGGTCCCGGGCGGCGGGGCGATCCGGCCCCCCCCAAAGCGCTCTCGGCAAAGCGCTGCTGCGCCTCGCCGAGAGCGTTCCCGGGACGGGGCGGGAGGACCTCCGCGGGAACGAGCGCTGGCGCTCGATTCTATCATTTTCCAGTCCGCGGCCCCCGGGGACCGCTTTCGCCCAGACTCCGCGTCTGATGGCGGGGCCTGTTGGCGGGCCCCCTGAAAAAATACCGAAGTCGAGCGAAGACGCCGCGATGGAAAAGGTCACACCGTCGTCGTCGCTGCCGCCGCCGTCGCCGTCGTCGCCGACGACGTCGTTGTCGCCTCGCCGTCGCCGCCGCCGCCCTCGTCGTCGCAGTCGTCGAATCAAAGCCGTCGCTGTCGCCACCGCGCCGTCGACTCGTCCTCGCCGCCGCCGCCGTCGCCGTCGTCGTCGGCGCCCGATCCCTCGCGCGCGGGGCGGCGGCACGTGCCGCCCGGTGCCGGCCCGCGGGGCCGGTGGCCGCCCGCTCATGAGCGCCCCCGCGGGCGCCGCCGGCGGGCGGGCCGGGCGGGGGCGCAGCGGCCGGGCGCCCTCTCGGAGCGCCTGCGGCGGCGGCGGGCGGCGGCGGCGGCGGCGGGCGGCGGCGGCGGCGGCGGGCGGCGGGCGGCGGCGGCGACGACGGCGGCGACGGCGGCGACGACGACGGCGACGTTGAAGGCGGCGACGGCGGCGGCGGAGGCGGCGGAGGCGGAGGCGGCGGCGGCAGAGCGGAGGAAAGGGGCAACTCGGACACGCTCGGCCTCCCAGGTAGTGGCAGAGTAGATGGGGCCGGTGGATCGCGCCGCATCGCCGATACATCACCGATGCATCGGCGATGCATTGGTGACGTCGGGGATGCACCGGCGAGGCCCGCGCGGAGACAACCGGGACCCACACCGAGCTGCATCGCCGATGCATCGACAGGGGCGGGAGCCTCCGACCCCGGTCTGCTCGGACCCCATCTGGAGGCTCCTCGTGGCGGCAGACCTCCTCTTCTGCTTCGTCGGAGTCCCGTTCGCGGACGGCTCTTCGCTCGGTGCTGCCTCCTGCGTGCTCCTCCTGCTCCTGCTCCTGCTCCTCCCTCCTCCTCCTCCTCCTCCTCCTCCTCCTCCTCCTCCTCCTCCTCCTCCTCCTCCTCCTCCTCCTCCTCCTCCCCGCGCCGCGAGGCAATCACTGTTGGAGGCTCCTCGTGGCCGCGGCCGGATCCTTCTACAGAAGCTGGCCAAAGCGCGTCTGGGGGAGGGCCGGCTCTCGACCTCAAGTCCTGACATCCTGGAGGCGCGAACAGAGCGCGGCGGGCGATTTTCATGCGGTCATCGCCTCTGGGGGTCCTCGCCGGAAAGCGACTCGGGATGACGAGCTAAGCCCCGGGAAGGGGCACAGACCTCTGGGGAGCCGCGTTGCGAAAAGATCACGGCGTGAGATGTCCAGGGAAGCCCTTACGTGGGCCGTCTTTTCAGCCAGAGCCATCTTGACGAGGGGGGTGGGAGGAGGTTGCCCAGTCTCGGTGCGAGGGATGGCGCAGAAGCGACTGGGGTACAGCTCTCGGTGTCCACTCTCGGTGCCCACTCTTGGCCCGCTGAGCGCTGGGCGGTTTCGTCTCCTCAGTGCCCACGGCAGGGGGACGGCGGCCGAGCGCGACTGGGCCGGGGCCGCGGGCGATTGCTCAGGAGGGGCGCAGCGCGCGCCGCGGGCGCCAGGAGGGCGAAGGGTCTGCAAGACGGCGGCGCACCGCCGCCTCCGCCTCGTCCTCCCCCATCCCCTCCTCGTCGTTCCGCTCATCACGTGCCTCCTCCCCTCCTTCCTTCTCGCCCTTTCGCTCCTTCGTTGCCTCCGCCTCCTCCTCCTCCTCCTCCTCCTCCTCACGATCATCATCAGCATCATCATCATCAGCAGCAGCAACAGCATCATCATCCTCATCAGCAGCATCATCATCATCATCATCATCCTCGTCATCATCATCATCATCATCATCATCATCATCATCATCATCATCATCATCATCATCATCATTATCAGCATCATGATCATCATCATCATCATCATCATCATCAACATCATCATCGTCATCCGCATCCTCATCCTCATCCTCATCCTCATCCTCATCCTCATCATCATCCTCATCTTCATCATCAGCATCATCACCATCATCATCACCATCATCATCATCATAATCATCATCATCATCATCATCATCATCACCACCATCACCACCACCACCACCATCATCATCATCATCATCAGCATCATATTCATCATCATCATCATCAGCATCAACATCATCATCATCAGCATCATAATCGTCATCATCAGAATCATCATCATCACCATCATCATCATCACGATCATCGTTATCAGCATCATCATCATCATCATCATCCTCATTATCATCATCCTCATCATCATCACCATCATCATCATCATCATCATCATCAACATGATCAGCATCGTCATGATCAGCATCATCATCACTACCACCACCATCATAACCATCATCATCATCAGCATCATATTCATCATCATCATCATCATCATCAGCATCAACATCATCATCATCAGCATCATAATCGTCATCATCAGAATCATCATCATCACCATCATCATCATCACGATCATCGTTATCAGCATCATCATCATCATCATCCTCATTATCATCATCCTCATCATCATCATCATCAACATGATCAGCATCGTCATGATCAGCATCATCATCACTACCACCACCATCATCACTACCACCACCACCACCACCACCACCACCACCACCACCATCATCATCATCATCATCATCATCATCATCCCCCTCCTCCTCCTCCTCATCATCATCATATTCATCATCATCAGCAGCATAATCATTATCATCATTCCTCATCATTATCAGCATCAGCATCAGCATCAGCATCAGCATCACCATCACCATCATCATCATCAAAATCATCATCATCATCATCATCATCATCATCATCATCATCATCATCATCATCCGCCTGTGTCTCCTCCTAGTCTGCCTCCCTCCCCCTCCTCCTCGTCCCCCTGCCGCTCCTCATTCCATTTCTCTTCGCTTTCTCCTCGTTCTCACTCTCCTCCTCCTCCTCCTCCTCCTCCTCCCCGTTCTCCTTGTCCTATTTGTACTCCTCTTCGGATGGGTAGTGTCCGAGAGCGACCGTGCGACACGGACGCGATGGACCATGAACCGCCCCTCCATCTCTCTTCTTTTTTTCTTCCTGCCCACAGTCTGGTGACATGTTGTGGCTCATGGTGTCCCCGTAGTTGTGCCAGGGGGAGACTCCCAATGTTTTGACAACGCGGGATGCATAGTGCATCACTCGCGCACGCCGATCCCACGCTGTGCAAGGTAAGTGAGCATCTGGATCATATGGCGATAGACCGACCGACCTCCTATTCCTCTCCGCCCGACTTCTCCGCCCCTTCATCCCCCCCCCCAAAAAGAAACAAAACCTCTCCGTCCTCTACTTAATCCTCCAGCTCGTTCGCCTCATCTTCCACCTTATCCTTCTGATCCCGATCCTCCCACTCTCATCCTCCCACTCCTCCCCCCCACCCCACTCTCATCCTCCCCCTCCTCCCCCCCACCCCCTTCATCCCCGTTACCTTCCTCCCTATTCTTCTTGTCGTTTTCGTTCCCCTTTGTTTCGTCCTCCTCATCCTCCTCCGCCTCCTCCTCCTCCTCCTTCCTCCTTCTCCTACTTCTCCTCTTCCTCCTCCTCCTCCTCCTCCTCCTCCTCCTCCTCCTCATGCCTCCACTCCCTCCTGCTTCTCCCATTCCCCCGTTCCTTCCTCCTCCAATCCTGGTGCATGTTTCGCATGCGTGCCCGATGCCGGCGCTCGCCAGCCAGTCTATGCACGCGTCTGTCCAGCCCCCGTCCAAGGCGAACCCGTGCCTGTCGGCCGAAAGGGGGGGATGAGGGGGGCAGGAACGAACGGACGACCGACCGCGAAACGCTCCAAAGAGTAGGTCGCTGAACTGTCGACGCGGAGTCTATAGTGTGCACGATACGTGGTGAAGACTGTGTAGTGTCAGCCACTGGGTGCAATCAATGTCGTGTAACTTGGTGCAGGCTACGTGGTGCAAGGTATGTGGGAAGTCCGGCACCGTGCCCTGAGGCACGAGTTGGAGTATCCTGAGGTCCGCGGCCTAATCTCTTGAGCCTCAGTCCTCAATCCTGAGGATTCTTTGGGCCCAGACCCCAGAGGGCCAGATCTCTCGGGGCTTCTCGCGTGCCCCACGGGCCCTGGCGCGCATTCCCACATCACTTTTTCGGCTCACGAGGGCCCCAAGACAGGCCGAGAGGGCTCCAAGAGGCCCCCTAAAGCGGTCCAAGAGAGGCCCGAGTCACAGAACGATCGGTCTAAGACGCTCAAGACGGTCGGAAGACGGCCGGAGAGGCGACGGAGACGCCCACAGAGAGGCCCAAGAGGTCTCCCATGAGGGGCCCAAGGGGCAAAACAGTTCTAATTCCCCCTGGGCGACGTGATGGTTTTCATCTACTCGCTTTTCCGCCTCACGGCCTTCAAGACGGCCCAAGAGGCCCCCAAGATCGCCCCAAGACGGTCCAACAGGTCCCCACATGGCCCAACAGGGCCCCAAGACGGCCCAAGCAAGAGGCGCCTCAGACGGCCCAAGAGGGCCCCAAGACGGCCCTAAAAGGGGCCCAAGTGGGGGAGCCCCAAGGGGCCCCCAAGAGGCCCCAAGAGGCCCCAAGAGGCCCCCAAGATGCCCCCAAGACGCCCCAAGAGGCCCCAAAACGGCCCCCAAGAGGCCTCCAAAAACTGCCTCCAAGAGGCCCCCGAGAGGTCTCCCAAGACACCCTAACGAATGTCCAAGAGGCCTATGACACACAACCCAAGCACGGTGATGGGGCCGAAGGCCATTCGATCCGCCGCTCCCAGCTGATTTATCACAAGGGTGCCTGGCGTGCTGAACGTCTGATGGTTTCCGGTTCTCTTTGAAAACTCATACTGGGACTTCGGCCAAGCGCGCCGGCCACCCCAAGGCCGCGCCGCTGCGTGAACACGTGTCCCAGGCGGGCCAGATGGCCTACAGGACGGCCAAGATGGCCCAAGATCGCCTCTAAGATACACCCAAGACGGCCAAGGTTGCCCAAGAGAGTCCAAGACAGCCCAAGATGGCCTCCATGACAATCTCAAGATGCCTCCAAAACCACCAGGACGGTCCAGAAGAGCCCAAGACGGCCAGAGGCGCCCAAGAGGCCCCTAGGACGGCCCAAGAGGACTCCAAGAGGTCCTCCAAGAAGGCCCGAAGATGCCAGAACCATTGATTGTCCTCAGGTTATTCAATCATTGTGGCAGTTCCTTGAAATTGGACGTCCGACGGCACAAGACGGCCCAAGAGCCCCCCAAGATTGCCCCAGGATCGCCCAAGACGCCTCGAAGATGGCTCCAGAACGGCCCAAGAGGCTCCCAAAACGGCTCCCAAAGGGCCCCAAGACGGCCCAAGACGCCCCAAAGATTGCCCCAAGATCGCCAAAGAGGCCTCCAAGATGGCTCCAAACCGGTCCAAGAGGTTCCCAAGACGGCTCCCAAAAGGGCCCCAAGACAGCCCAAGAGGCCTCCCAGACGCCCAAAGCGTCCCAAGAGGGCCCCAGGACGGACCTGAGAGGCTCCCAAGACTGGGGAGCTAAATATCGACACCCACCCTGCCTTACAGCGCCCATGTACGCATAGATTCGGCAGAGCCCGCGGATGGTCCCGAATGATATCCCGACGTCGCATTTCCATCGTCGGCAAGACTGGCAGGATGCACATGGCCGAACAAGCCGCGCGCGCGGGGCCGCACAAACCTGAAGCTTCCGTCCTGGAGCACGCGCAAGCCATCTGCGGCTTGCTGATATGAGCCAGCCACGCGGCTCACGCCGCAGGCACTGACATTGCGATTCAGCGCCAGAGGGTTTTCGTCTCTAGAAACACGCCAGTATTATGTGCACCGGGTTTGGTGGGTGTACACGTCGTTTTCTTGAAACATGTGTTATATTTTTGCTCGGGAGAATAAATTTCTAGGTGGGTGCATACTTCGTTTGGGCGGGTGTACATCATGCTTTTTCGGTGGTTTTCGCATGCACCCGCTGTTCCGCGGGAAAACGAAACGCCTCTCGAAATACCGCAGATTCGCGAAGGCGGGTCCCACCCGTGCAGACCAGTCCGAGCATCACCGATGCTGGCGGCGACCTGTATGGCCGCGTGCAGTCGGCGGGCTCGCTGGGCCCCCGCGAAGGCGGCCTCCGCGAAGCGTCGGCAACTCGTCCAAGACGTCCCCTGCGACCCCCCGAAGTCGGCACATTTGGGCGCCGAGGCAAATTTCGCGCCACGAGTAATTAATGAAAATGCATCGGCATCTGTATTGCAGGGTGGGTGTCGCAATCTTGCCCCCGAAAGACGGCTTCCGACGACGTCCGACGGGCCAGGAACGCCGCAAGACAGCGAAAGGGGCCCCCAAGAGGCCCCAAGAGGCCCAAGGAAGTCCCCAAGAGGCCTCCAAGAGGCCCCCAGAAAGCTCCCCGGAGGCTCCAAGAATGACACCAGAAGCTCCCAAACGGTCTCCTCGACCTTTCGGCTCATACCGTAGGAGCTCGACCTCGACCGTAGAATCCTTCCACAAGAAACCCAACCCTGGAAGCCCAGGACGTCCATTCATTTTTGGTGTGAGAACGTCACGCTTTCCATTGCAAAACCATCAGAACCCCAAGAAACCCAAGGCAGCCCGGAGGCGAGCAGGGTGTTTCTTGGCATGGATTTCAACTGTACTCCTTTTCCTCCCTCTCCTCATCCTCCACTTCTTCCCACACGTGCTTCCCGAACAGCTTCCACGACGGTTGGGGGAACGCATGGAAAGATAGTGCAACCAGACTCTGCCCAAAGCTTTGGCCACACAGGCGTATCCTAAAAGGCAGGGAGGCGGCGGTGATCCGCCGAGGCATCTTCAATAGTGCGGTGGAAGCTGCATCATGCAGTAACAGATCTGGTAGAAGCATTGCGGTCCAAGCTACGTCGTGTCACGGACAGTGCGTGAGCTGTGGGGAAGAATATCTGTGCCGCGATACGCGATGAAATGCATTTTATGCGGTGCAGGCTACGTGGCGGGCGGCACGAAGCGCCCACGAGGCGCTCGCACCCACCAAGGCGGCAACCCCGAACACCCAGCCAGCGCGCGTGGCGCCCGCGGCGATGCGCCCACGGAGGCCCGCCGGGCGAGGAGCCGGCCGGTTCAGCCAGCGCGCGGGGCGCCCGCCAAAGGTGCCCTCGGGCACCCACCGGGCGGAAGCCCGCAGAACCGAGCCAGCGCACGGGGCGCCCACGACCCACGAAGCGGCCGCGGCCGCCCGTCGGGCGAAAACCTGGGAAACCCATCCTCTGACCTACAGGGCAGTTTTTAATGCATAAGATTTATAAACCCATAAGACTTTAGTACATGATTAATGCATGCAATAATCTTATGCGTGAACTCATCGTTGGTTTTAATGCAAAATCCTTGCATGTTTAATACATGATCCCCACGCGGAGCAAGTATTAAAAACGGCACTGTAAGGACAACACATCGGAGCCCCGGAAGGCAAGCACTGCAGAGGGCCTCCTCCTGGAAGTCCCACCACCTCTTTTCCAGTGCTGTCGCCGAACGTGTTGCGACTCTGTCGGTGTCGTACTGCTGGTGCCGTCGCGGTTGTGTGGCACCTCCAGCGCCGCGCTGTGACGAACGACCGTTTCTGGTCAATGACGACACCTTGACTTCAAGACAACCTGGCGCCTCAGAGGGGCATCCTGGGACGTTCGAGGCCTCCCAGAGCAGGCGGAAAAGGAGTGGAAGGAGGAGTGGAAGAGTCGCGGAGGAGGGGACGAACGAGGATGAGCGGGAGGAAAAGGATGAGTGGGAAGGGGAGGTGGAATGAGCCGAGGGGGAAGGAACAAGGGGGAGGAGTGCGTTAAAGGCGGAGGAAGAAGAAGAGTGGAAGGGAGGGGTTGACCGCCCAGAAGGGAAGAGGGGAAGATCAGGCGAAGGGCGTGAGAGAGAAAAACGGAGGGGGGGGGCGATCGGAGTGGAAGGAAGGGGTGTGAAGTTTCGAGGGGGAGGGGGAGGCATGGGACGAGGAGCAGGAGCAGGAACAGGGGCAGGGGCAGGAGGCGGAGGGGGTGTAAAGGACGAGGGGGGGGGGTGACGGATGAGCGAGAAGGAAGAGGAACAGAAGGAGGAAGAGCAGCAGCGCGAGCAGAAGCAGGAAGGCGGAAAGAGGGGGGGGGGCTGAAGGCGGAGGCGACGGCGAGAGGGGAGGAGGAGCGTGTGGAGGAGGATGCGCGTGGCCCCAGGCAGAAGGCCCACCCCGCAGCGAGCCCGCGCCTGCCGTAGTCGTCCAGCAGGTATCTGTGCGGTACTCCGGCCGCCGCCAGGGCCTGGGCCGGAGCTGGG